TAGAAATTAAAAGAGGAAACAAAAAATGCAGAAGCTGAGATTTCGGAAAAGGACAATCTAGATGAGCCAAAATATCACTCACTTAGGTGGGAAGAAGAAACCCATTACTAGCACCAAGGTGGAAGCGTTTGCAAGAAGTCTCTGAAGCTGAACTCAAGACTATGTTGGAAGAGAAGAAGAGGAATCATATAGACATTGATGCTGGTAGAGATCGATAGATTCCTCAGGGAATAGGTAAGGAGCCAATTAGTCTTGCAACTTTCCTTCAATTCTAAAGTTTAAATTAATTATATTAATCCTTCATACATCATAATAAAATGCACACTAAAACATTCAAAAATGGAAATCAAACGCTCCAAGTTATTTTAAATTCACTTTCCTCATACTTAAATGTTTGTTTAAATTTTAAAAAGAAAGTTTTTGATAAAATTATCATCCTTGTGGCATAGTTTGTTATCATTTAGAAACCAAATGAGAAAATCGAAATTGGCTGAAGGCTGAGATCCAGAAGGAGGATATAGAAGAAAGTTCAATGGCAACTCATTAATGGGAACAAGAAACATTTACAAGCACAAGTGAGGAATTGCACTATTCCAGGGCTTGAAACCTCGAAGATCATGTTGAAGAGAAGAGAAAATAGATAAATGTTGATGCTAGTAGAGGATGATTGTTAATTCTAAAGGAAGAGGTTAAAAAGAAATTACTTCCTTGCACCTTTTTTTCAATTCTGAAGTTTATTTTAATTAATCAATTCCTTAATAGAATTATATGACAACTCTGCTACAAAAAGTTTGATAAGTTTCTCAATTCCTTGTTGCAGAGTTGCACCACTTAGCTAATATGAAAAAGAAAACAGGAAATACAGAAAGCTGAGATCCGAAAAAGGAGAATCCAGACGAGCCAAAATTATTCCTCTCTTTTAGTGAACGGAGGAACATTACTAGCTCAAGGTTGGAAGCGTTTGCAAGAAGGTCTTTAAAGCTGAAACCTCAAGACTATGTTGAAGAAAGAAATGGAATCAAAAGACGTTGATGCTGTATTGATGAATGTAAGTCCCTAGGAAGAGGTAAAAAGAAATAGTTCTTGCACTTTATTCCAATTTCTAAAGTTTGTTATTATATTAATTCCTTCCATACATCATTGAATAAAGTGACACTAAAACATCAAAAAATGGAATCAAAAGCACCTAGTTCATTAACTTCACTTTTCTCATTGCAAAATGTTTTGTTAAATTTGTAAATAGACGTTTTGATAAAATTATCATTCCTTGCTGCAGACTTTGCCACCACTACAAACAAATGAGAATATAGAAATTGGCAGAAGATGAGGATCCAGAAGAAAAGGAGATTGTAACAGGGAGTTAACAACATCATGTTAATGGAAAAAGAACATTACAAGCACAAGGCGAAAGAATGCAAGAAGTCTCTAAAAGCCTGAACCTCAAGACCATGTTGAGAAGAAGAGAAATCAGTAGATGTTGTAGCTGGTAGAGATTGATGTAATTCTTAAAGAGAGGTAAAAAAGAAATTAGTCTTGCACCTTTTTGAATTCTTATAGTTTAATTTATTTATATTATTTCCTTTATAGAAATATATTGATATCTATAAACAAAAGTTTGATTAAATTCTCATTCTTGTTACAGTGCTTGCCAACCACTTAGAAATAAATGAGGAAAATAGAAATTGCAGAAACTGAAATCCAAGAGGAGAATCTTAGATTGAGTTCAAATGTCACTCAATCTAGTTGAACAAGAAAACATTAGCAGCAGCAAGATGAAGGTTCAAGAAATCCTTAAAGTTAGAAATCAAGACCATATTGAAGAAGGAACAAAAATCGGTAGACGTTTTGTGATGCTGGTAGAGATGTTTGTATCTTAAGAAAGAGGTAAAAAGAAGATTAGTCTAGCACATTTTAAATTCTTAAGTTTAATTTAATTATCTTAATTCTTCATAATCATGATTTAAGTGAACACTAAAACATTCAAAAATGGCAATCCATATGCTCCAAGTTTATAAAATTCAAGTTTCCTCGTTGCAAATCTTCGGTTAAATTTACAATAGAAGTTTGATTTAAATATCATTCCGTTGTTGCAGAGTTTGCTGGCCACTAGAAACAAAGGAGGAAATAGAAAATTGCAGGAAGCTGAGATCCAAAATGAGATTCTAGAGGATTTAAACGGCATATGGCTGATGTAAGAGAACGCTTCCAGTATAATATGTAAGATCAGATAGAAATAAATAATCACGAAGGTGGAAGAAGTGCTCTAAGGCTGAACCTCAAGACCATGTTGAAGTAAGAAAAAGCAGAAATTCAGTAAGGTGATGCTTGGTAGAGGATGATGCGGTACATTTCAACACTTGTAGCCTCGCTCTCCGCGCGCTAGGCAACTCGTGAATCGCCTGCTATATGAGAATGACTCTCACCTTGAATCGTGTGCGGTGGAATCGCTGATCATCAGTAACGCGCGATACAAACAATCAAGGAGGAAATTATCCAAGCCATCGTAGATGTGCACCTTTTTTCAATTCTTAAAGTTTAATTTAATATATTTAATTCATTCATAGAATATTCTCTCTCTTTTTTT